GGGCTAGCGCTCCTCAGAAGGAAAAAAAATGTGACACTATTAACAGAGGGTGTGTGAAAGTGTGACTGTACAGCTGAGGTCGGGTGCAAGGGGTGTGCGTGTGTGTTAATCTGCCTTTGGTTTGTGCTGCGGCGTCTTCTGGGGCTGAAAGCAGCTGGGCCAGGTCCCATTGTGCTCAGCTAAGCAGAGGCACACTAGAAATCAAGCCTGAGACAGGACGGGAAGAGCATCCCCATTTGTGTCTAGATGTGTGAGAGGGAAGCCAGAGGCATGATACGACCGCGTGTGCGTTTAGTCCGAGCACTCAGGGTGCCTGTGCCCTGCTCCCACCGTCAGTAAGGTCTCGGAGGTGCAGGTGCAAGAGGTCGCAGGCAAAAAGGGGGAACTCCAAGCAGCCTCGCACCCAAAGCCTCCTGTGTCCAATTTCACCTTCGAGAGATGCCGAAGGCACTGCAGACTGTGTTGCGGCTTGAAGGGGAGACAGCCTCACCCCCCACGTTAAGGTGCTGGCCAGATTTTTGTTGTGCTTTTCCCACAGAGGTGGAGTTGGGAGAAGGGAAGACAAAACGTCCCAGCTTAATTTCTTTTTAATGGTCTGATGGAGCGTCTGACATGTGAATCCTCGCTGTCCCTGCTCTCCAGCTTGGCTTCAATGACTGCTTTTAACAAACAGCTTCCCCCAGACAGGGAAATTCTGTTACCTTGCCCAAACCTGCTCAAATACTTTGAGCTCCCAGTTACACATTTAGCACAGGATTTTGGCAAAATGCAGGAGAGGCGCATACTTTGAACAGGAGGTAGACTTAAAAACAGCCCCTTGATCATCAATGATGTCTTTATCCACTGAACCAGAACTGGGTTTCGTAAACCCTTATGCCCACAATTTCGTGATCTCCTCCCAACGTACCAGCCAGCCCCTGCAAACCAGGTCATTTTAAGAGAGTTCATACGCCTGTATTCCTGCAGCCCTGCAATATGCATTATAAGTAGCTTATCTGGAGCCATCAGTGACCACAGATTAGTGGAGCAACATTCCCTCTGGAAATCTTTGAGCCTGCACTGCCTTTCCTCATTACAGAGGCTACCAGGTCTGCATTGCTTTGCATCCGCTCACCGAGGGGGCTTTACATTAACTCCACTTGGGGTTTCAGAGTTTCGCCTCTGAGCAGATCACGGGCAAACCGGGATGCTCATTTCCAGCGCCTGGCAGGGCAGGGGAGTCCTGCCGCGACACCCGGGTGCCCCCGCGTCCCCAGGCCAGGGCTGGCTGCCGGGGCAGGGTGGGCTCCAGCCGAGCGCGCCCGATGTGGGGGCTTTGCTCCTTGTGACTTCTGCTCAGTGCACAAGTCCTAACTGGAAATTAAAAGCCTGTCCTCTCCTCGTCTTCAGGGGTAAATTTCAGAGGCTCCAACGCTCGATAATTAACAAGTCCTGTCATTTCCCTTGCTGTTGCACTAGCTGTGGTATTTTTAAAGATTTTTATTAAAAATTAATTTCTTTATTTTGTTGGAGACCCATCACTCGGTCACGTGGCTCCCTGTCATGTTTCTATCCTTCCTACTCATATTCGAGTTATGCCATCAAGCTAATATATTGTGACTGCTCTTCTCTCTTGTGACAAAGCCTTGCAGCTGCCTCCAAATCAATAGATGTCAAAGAAATATGAAAACAATCATGACAGAGAACTTAAATCCTGGCTAGAGTCTGCATAATAAAAAATGTGCTTCTGTTCTCAAGGCAGCGGATTAATTTATCCTAAAGTTTAGTCAAATTTTATTCCGGTACCTTTTTCCCAGCAGATAGAGCTACATCTGTTGGGTTTGTAATGTAATTTGTAATTACTGCCCTTCATGTGGTCCAATGCCTTGAACCATCTTTAATTAAAAGCATAATTAAGGGAAGATCTAAAGGAAGACAATTACCAGATGGTCTTTTTTTTTTAGAAACAGTTAGTTGCATTGAGGATGTACCCTGGTCCATTTCTGACTTGGATTAAAAGGCAGGCTGCCTCCTGCACAATCTGCGAGGCGAGAGGCCGAAAAGGGGCTTGGGCATCCCGGGCAGCACCACGGCCAATAACTGCAGGGGAAGAGCTGGGGGGGGCACTGGGGGGACCTTGGGGCAGAGGGTCGTCCTGGCTCCATTGCCTTTGCCCAGGCAGGTGAGCCCTGCTGCCCTTCTCCAGCACAAAACTGGCAAAAACCACCTTAGCCAAAGCCCCCATCAGTGGGGCCACTCTAGAGCAGCTAGCATACATTTTCCTGGTGAAAATAGCAATTAATAGTGATAGTGATGATGGTGGTGATGGTGATGATGATGATGATGATAATAATAAAGGAGGGTCTGAGCCCCAGAACAGCTTCCAAAAATGAATTGTCACCGCTGCCCCAGGTGGGACTGACCCTGATGGTGGAGGACCGTGCCTGCCCAGTCCCTGCTGATCCGAGACTAAGGGGAGGTTTCAGCTAATCCCGGAGGGGTGGGTTAGCTGAAACCTCGGCTCAGGCTGCGGGACAGGGGCAGCTCCTCCACCGCCCGGCTGCAGCAGCTGCCCCAGGCTCGCTGGGGTTAGTTCTGGGTTCCTTTTGGGGTACTCTGCTTCCAAGCAAAGCTCCTCCTCCCCGCACCTGGAAGTTTCGCAGAAGACCATTACTAAAGGAGAAAGGGCGGGAGGGGATGGGAAATAACCCCGAAAATATGAATAATGCAACGAAGTGCAGAATTATGTGTGAGGACAGAATTTCTAGGGGAAGCTGGGCATAAAAAAGGAGGGGAAAAAAAATTAAAAGAGAAACCTCGAGCAGTGGTGTAATGTAAATTAAATTTTTGCTGTATTACTAAGATTTCATTATTTGACTGTTCCTACTCGAAGTAAGGCAGCAATGAATTGTAATCATTTCAATTATCTTCAAGATAGTTTCTTTAGGACACAAGTTGTCAAAGATAAAAAAGTAAATTCTTGCTGCTCCATGGGTCCATTTTCCAGACGGTTTGTCGTTCTTGCTGCATGATTTAGTCGGGGCTTTTTTGCATACTCCGGCTCTCCCACACGCCCTCCGCAGGGGCGCGGACCCGCTCCCTCCCCGCACGGTCCGGCCGCGCAGGGCTCCGCGCCCGCGGAGCCGGTGGGGCTGCCCCTGTCCCAGCGC